ATTGTATTATATAACATTAAATAATATATATCAGTAAAATATAATGTCTAATATTATTATAGTATATAATAAAATATTATATTTTTTATTATATAAAATACAAAAATAAATATAATATAAATAAAATAAATATAATATACATTATATTATATTATATTATATTATATATTAATATAATATATATTATATTAAAATTTAAATACAAATGAGATCGTGACCGTTAGATCGGCCCAAATTCAATATGGATCGTTGGGCTCATATGTAGCTATGAGTAGTGTTCGCAAAATCTAACCGGAACGGTTAACTGGACATGGGGCCGGGAGCGGTTCGAACCGGAAACAATCTAACCGGGGCGGTTAACCTGACTAACCGGTCAAGTAGATTTTTTTTAAAAAAAAATGGGTCAAAAACCCCCCAAAAAAATTAATTTTTCCTTTTTAAAAATAGAAAACTTAGATTGAGTGTATCCTATCATATTGCATGCATTTATCTTACAAAAACAATTTGAAACAACTTTTTATATAAATTAATATTTGAATACTATGGGGATATGCAAGACAATTTATAATTTGACATAAATTCAATTTATGAAGTTACAAAGTCCAACTAACAATGGCTAGTAGTAATGAGAATGGCTATTAGTATGTGATTATAAATCTACTTGATTTGAACCATTTTGAAACCTAAAATTTTATAATTAGACATGAAAATAGATTTTAAGCTTATTATAAAATTTGGTCGTGCACCTTGTTTTGATGGTTTAAGGTACATAATTGGGGGCTTAAACAATCAAAGTAAAATGCACTTTCAAATAGTATCCAAATTCAAATGGTGTTGTTTCGGTACTGAAAATCTTGATGACATTCTCCAAATCCATTTTATCTCTAATTAAATAATTATAAAATTTAGAGCTTCAAAATTAGTATTGATTGGGCATATCTATAAACACTAAAAAGTCTTGAAAGTTGACCATCAAGAAAATGCATTACAAAATGCACTATTTCTAAATACATTACACGATGCACTATTTCTAAGACTGAAAACCTACTAATATAATATTAAAAATATCAAGCAAAAACAATATTTGGCTGAAATTATTGACTGCATTCAATAAAAGAATGGATTTGAGAACAAAAACAAACATTTGGAGCTCAATTTTAGGATTTTTTGGGATATCAATATTTCTAAAAAACAAATTATTTTGCTTAATAAAATTATGTTTTATGATGACTATGTGAAATGTTTTTCTATTTTTCTTAATAAAATTATGTTTTTTGATAAAATTATATTTGATGAATATGACAGAAAAAATTGATTCTTCTATTTTTAATGTTATATTGTTTAACAATAAATAAATAAGTGCATGATCATGTTGCTCGATCTTTTGCTTCGACCGGAACCGTGACGGTCCTGGTTCCGATCTAACCGGTCGATTCTAGTTTGAACCAGTCGTTTTTTCAAACACTAGCTATGAGTTAGTGGGATAACCTCAACTTTTTCCCCATATATATATATATATATATATAATAATCTAAACTTCACAACCCTTCAAATTACAAACGTTCAAGATAGAGAGAGTTGTGACCCTTCAAATTACAAAGGTTCAAGATAGAGAGAGTTGTGAAGGGTTGATTTATTAATTTTGTAGTTTATTTTTTAAAAAAAAGTTACTTTTGTGGAGTACTTTTGCAAATTTACTACAAAACAAATAGTACTTTTGTTATCTCCATAAAAGATAAAGTTGAAATTTTAACTAAAGGCACTTTACAAATAAAGTTTGAGGATACCAACTTCCAAAATGCCATTGTATTTTTGTGAAAAATTCAAATTTGCCTTTGTTTAATAGTAAAATTACATATTTAAATAATTTTATAAC